TTTAATAAATTTGCATTTTAAACGGTCGAAGTATAACATATATATTTTTTTTCGTCGATCAACCAATTTAATGGCTATAACAAGTTGTGCATAAAGAGAAATAGTTACCACGAATAAATAAAAGAATGACGCTTAACAATTTTTATAACAATTAAACAAAAATAAAAAACAAACCTCTCGTATTTTAAGGAAAAAGTCTAGAAGTTTTGTTTGAATGTTGTATCTCTTTTAAGTCTTAAAATAAATAAACTATGTTACTGGACAGCTTAATTATACATCTTAACAAATTAATGACATATATATTGTTGAGTATCCAAGGAATGGAAAAATAAGTTTATAATAATCTGTCATTATTACTAAAAACCTAAAGTCAAATCAAATTAGTAATTAATTAGTTGTAATTGAAGTTATTACTTATCATACCGCTCATTAAAATTAAATGCAACTCATTAGGTATCTGTAACAATCCGTTGATATTTACACTTTTTAGTAATTGAGCTCTACTTAGCTGTGTAATCTAAAAGTGCTTGCTGCATAGAGATGTCAAAATAACGCTAGCAAAAACTAGATAATCGCAAGTGCACGTGTTGGCGATCTATATAGAATTAACCCTGCATTTTTAGGGGTACCTACTAACCATATCATTTACAAGTGCTTTTGGCGGTATCTGCGTGCAATGCACTTGTCAAATTTTATAAGCACGTCCCACTTGGCACTTTAAAGCCGGCACGTGAGGGCCGCGTTTAGGCAAATTGAGTTACGGGCCAAAATAGCAGAGTGCATACATAACTAAATCAAACGCCACTAGTTCCGACGCCGATCGTGCCTTGAAAGTGTCGAATGGCATTGGCAATGTCGGGGTTTCGGAATCGAGGAAGCTTTAATATAATTGCCCGGCGACATGCTACCCTTATTTTCAAATCATCCTATCCGAACGATCTCTGGGATATGATCTCGCGATAGTATTGCTTAGATCACATAGTTCTGGGGCTCATGTTTTGCTACTGGAAGCATTTAAACAGCTGCCCCCGCAGCGTTTCGAACAAAAGAAATGTTTGCGCAAAAGCTGTTTAACTTTTTTACATAAACGCTCACTGGCATATAAAGAGGGCTTTAAATTGATACCGAACACTTGTTGGCTTGCTTAATTGTTGCCCTATATATCCGGTCAAACCCAAAATGACAGCGCCCAAAAACCGACCACTTTCAATTTCCCGTATTCAAGCCAGTTTGAATTGTCCTCTTAAATCATGAAATAGGTATAATTGTTTTATTATGAAGAGCCAAATAAATTTTAGTGGTTTCTCGCACACGGCATGATAAGCAATATCAACCCAGACAATCAATTTTCTGAACGAAACCAAGGAATGCCAATAGCGCCACTTTATCTTTAACAGCAGCACGATCCCGCGATGCAAACAAACAGCAGTAAAAATAGTTCTCAGCTTATTTTACGATCCAAGTATAGTACTTCCATAAATGCACCTGTATATCATATCGTATCCTCCGAATAAGATAACTGTATCTATGGGAAAAAAGAGGAACTAAAGGCAATCTGCCCATTTGACCCGCCTGGAATCGCAATGATTTGGGTTTGTTTACGTGACTTGAATGTGAATTCCCAAAGATTGATTCGGAAAAACTAATTTGGCAAACAATCGGGAACTAGATTGGAATTATTGATTCGCAATACGTGAATTGAAATTTCTTAATTATACCATTGAGAAGAGATCAAAGAACGCAGCCAATGACCTTCGGCATTCATTTTGGTTAATAGTATGTTAGTGAACCCTTAATTGCAGGGAGCGTTACATCAGTTAGAGATCTTGGTTCCCGATAACCCAAAAGCATTGTGCAAATTCTGAAAGCCTAAACAAATCATTAGGGCAAAAGCTGCTAATACACTTTTCTGGTTTCCCCTACTTGGTTATACGGGGAAATTAAGTTCACGCCAGCTTCTCATTCTAATCTGTAGCGTTACGCATTTATCAACATTGTTGTTATTGACTTCATAAAATCAGCTCGACAATTTATGGGCGATAAACAGGTGTTATAAAGTTTAGTCGAATATGGCCCATGGGCATGGTCGTGATAAGTTGGCCATCTGCTTGTAAACGACGATCATTAGAGTCAGATTAAACGTCAATTAGCCGCAATCGCAGTGGACTCTGTGTATTCCACGAACTGTGTATTACCACGATAAATGATTTGATTTACAATCGGAAAGCGGTTATCTGGGAGGACCAAAATACCAACATATGTACATATAAGTACGAGTTGGAATCCGAAGATGGAGCAAAAACGTTGGATATTCACAACACGCGTTCCATTTACATAAGACTTGGTTACCCACTTGACACGGTTTGAGGTTGGTCTTGGTCTCTTTTCTCTCTTTTTCTTGCGATCCGATCCTCAAGTCCCCTTAAAAGGTCCCCTTTGTTGTATCTTATCTACGAGTATTTCGATTCTGATTTCGATTCTGGTTCGGCATAGAACTCTGCAAATTATTTCAGCGGCAATCAACCGTGTCTGTCTAACAAATCAAGACCGGTAATGAACCCAGTTAGTTGGCAGTTATTGTTGTAGATCATTGTTTTTGCTCAATTTCGGTTCTCATAGCCTCACCCGGGCGAAATGAACTGCCATTTTGCACCAATTCCCATTGAAATCATATAATTTGTGTTTTTTTTTCTAGCTTTTTGCATATTTGCACGTTATAATTAATTTTTAGAAAATTACGTGGCGCATGAAGTAATACACCCTCTATAATGACTGTAAATACCTGTCCAGTTATTCGGTAAATTGAATAATGCGAAATCGATGCGATAATTGCGAAAATTGCACGCACATGTTAATAAAAATCACGAGTGTCAAATATTGGTCCGTGCTATTCATATTTTTTCTCGAAACGTACAAATGTAAGTTGGTTGGGCAAACGTTTCGAATATCGTTGCATAAATCAAAAGCTGGTGTGTGAATATTTTGCGAAGACCCAAACCTGTACATTAACCTAGATACTTCTTTCAATCAACCCGTCCAGAGTCGGTCCAAAGTCTCAAATCCTTGGTCAATTGCATTAATTTGGGATTACAGCCTTCCTGGCCTGTTGCCAAGGCCTGGAATTAGCGGAACCCAGAGATCACTTGTCTTGTCCGAAAGCGAAAAACAAAACAAATTGAAATTGTTTCGAATAGTGGTCGCGGTTCAATGAATCGAAATAACGAAACCTGTTATTATTTGAAATGCAAATTTTTGGGTAACTGAAATTAAAACGGTCAAAGCCAAAGTAAGCGCCAGTTCTGGCTTTTATTTTCGAATGTTATGCACAAAAATTCGAGATTTCTCTAGACTCAGATATAAATAATGCAAAAATAGTATTAGTTATACTTTCTTCAAGATGGTAAATCTTTTTCCAAAAATACAATATCTCATATTTGAAACTTATACGAAATGGAAAACCGGAACGGCCCTATTTCAATTTGATACACCTAAGCGTCAGAAATATTTTAAAAGGGGGCCTGTCTTACTAGATTTCTTTTCATTGATTCGCTATGGAAAATTTGCAATGAACCGCACTGTAAGCACAAAAACAACTCGCGATCACAAAACAGTCAAAGTCATCTGTGTTTATCTCTGCTTATGTTTTTACGATTCGTACTTCTTCGTGGCACAAATTTTTGCATGGAATTTTACCACAAAGCCCCCGCCGTAATATCGGTTGCAGATATTTTTGAAAAATTCAAAAAACTGGACTTTCCCGTTGAGAGCCCCGAAAAAATGCGTTAAATGGATAGGTTGCACCGCCGAACTGAACTCACTTTATATGGCTGGTACTTTTTTGGGAGCGAGCGGAGCTCGGACTGCTGAGAACGTCGCGCAACGAATGAAGCTAAATCGGCAGTTGCCAATGGCATATATACTTGGGCGACGATTTTGAGCAAAAGCAGCGGTTAAAACGGTTAAAAATTGTTTAAATTGTTGCTGACGGTTGAAGCTCACCGTCAACTGGCTTTTTACGCTTTCTGATAGCGTGCCAAATATCGCATGCGATTCGAGGAACAAAAACCCGAGAAATTTTTTAAACAAAAAATATCACAAAATCGTGCTAAAATGTAAACCAATAAACATGATGACTAATAATTCAAAAATATGACCACATTGTATTAAGTTTGCTAATTTATTGTGTACTTCCAAGCCCAGCGAGTTTTAGAATGATAGTTTATGGTTATATTTGCACCAATTTTGCAGTTGAGCAAATCTAAAACACAATAATTTTTAAAAATACCATTATAAAACACGTGCTGTGAAAACTCACTTGACCGTTCATTTGTTTCATAATTTTTGTTTAATTAGCGCAATTGGCAAATGACAGTGAAAAGCCACAGAAGCGCAGAGCCTACATTATTGACTTAAGTTTATTTATAATTTAATATTCACCTATACCCGTAAATAACTTTTCACACTCCTCACCTTGGATAACTTTGCTTCCAGAGTAGACAGCTGGGAATCCGAACCCTTTGAACACATCCGAGACCTTCCACTGCTCAGCGCGACTTGATTTCGTGCCAACAATTAGCTTCCTGGCCAACTATCTCACGATGTGTGTGCTATATAAAATGTACTTTATCTCCGACGGTTATCCGACTTGTACCAACAGAGAACGTATATGTTTCCAGCCCATAAAGCTTAATTGATGCATTTAGCTGCTTGTTTCAGATAAGCGCTTATTATGAGTGGAAACTGTCAGCTCCTCAGAATATGTATTAATGACAAGCATCTTTTCCCTTAAATGCCGTAAAATGTAGGTTGTCTGTAGGTAACGAACCAGAAGCAAATCAGTTATCGCGCCGCAAACGTAACAATAATATTATACGAACTTAAGTGCGGCTGCCATCTTAAAACTTATTTAATTTCAACATATTGATTTTTTATAAAGCAGAGTGCTTTTAGTAAATCTTTGCTAGTGCCAATGGTTTTATACCATTAAAACAATTAAACAATTTCTGTTACAATCTCTACTTGACTAAGATTACAAGCGCACAGGCTAACAAATTAATTTCCTTTTGTTTAAATTGTTCACAACATATTCACATACAGCATACGGTGGGCACAGATTTTGCCAACCAGCTTGCTGTACTCAATAATCGCGTCGGCATCGCTCTCTTCGCCGCCAAGCTGTGAAATAAATGAAATAAAAATTAAAATATTATATTTTACAATTAGTCGTAGACATACCTGATTGTACTGCTTGTAATTGGCGCAGGTTTGGGCATCCAGCAGCAGCATAACTTCGTCTAAATGCTCTATTAAAAACTCATTCACGTCCCTGGCAGAAGCGTCTGGGTTTAAGCGTTGGTACTTATGCTCGTCTAGCTTAGCACGAATGGCTAAAGAAAGGTGTTTATAGTTTGAAAAGAACATGGCTAATGTCATCGTTAAATTTACCATCGGTAAGCGGTAGCCATTCATAAGTCTCTGGGCATAGCAAGTATGAGGCGGACAACTTGCCCTTGTAGCGCATTTTCGGGCATGAGTGTATGTAGAAACCCATGTAGTAATACTTTAAGGCAGGCACATTTTCGGCGAGCGACTGCACAAAGTCAATTTCCCTGAAGGGATTTAAGCCATGTAATTATGTTTTGTTTCTCCGGAATCATTTGTTACCTAAGTGAGCCATATGTGCCCAGCGATAGAAAGCTGTAGTCCGGATCGTAGAAGAAGTAAACAGAGCTCACACACGCGGGCAGAATGTCAATCACACCCACAGCAATCAGCTTGTCGTCCAGCCAATACTGCTGATGAAACGATCCATAGCCAATTTCGGGGCCATCGCTGGGTTTCTCATTCTGCAAGGGAAGGCATAGAGACGATATTAGGTAAAACGAAAACATTGATAAGATCGAATTAGTGAACACTAGAAGTGGAGAAAACCTTCATGGGCGTCAACTGCAGGTGATCCTTGTAGGCCGCCTCATTCTTGGGCGGATCGTTGTGTATCGAAATTTGATACTTCTTGTACAGTGCAAAGCTCTCGGGCAGGGTACGCTTAAACTCCTCGTCGTGAACGTGAACCAAACGAAGCTGTGAATACATTTTAGGTAAGATAAATTGGCAGTTATAATTACCTTAAGAGGTGATTTGACCAAGAACCGCTGCATACTAGCTAGGGTGAGGCGTGCGGGGTTATCATTGTGAATGGTTATTTGATATTTGCGATACAACTCGATCACTGCATCGGCACAAGTGCGCTGTGTGTCTGAGGAATCGACCATAACGATCTGCAAGAACACAAACAGCACAAAGAGAGTGTGTCTACATGAAGAGGAAGACTCGTACTTGGGGAACGGACACAGAAAACACATAGGCACAGTACACAAACTAACTCATAAAAACAAAGGAATACGCTAGCTAGCTAGTCTTCGCAAACGGCCAAACAAAAATTTTAATTTTCTATCATCTATCCAGCACATACCTTTAGCTTATGCTTGTTGGTCTCGTTGTCGATCGATAAGAAGTCCCGAAGGCTCTTTTCCTGGGAAAGGGATTTTGTTGAAGTCGATGCAGAGTCCCCCAACTTGGCTTGCCGGCGCTCCAATCGCATTTGCTTGGCCTTCTTGCAGGGCTTGTTAGAGATCGGTGCTGCAGCTGGTAAATAAATAAATGAAACATTTGATTGCAAGAAATAAAGACTCTCTTCGACTCCAGATATAATAAATAGACATTATAGTTGATAACGAAAACAAAAACATTGCCATCAAAAAAAAAAGATTCTCTTTGGAAACCGAATCTTTGAAAGTGCTTTTTTAAGCAGATAGGTGATACGATATCGGCTTATTTTACGTAAATAGTCATTATAGTCAAATAATAATACTCGTCCTATAAAGCTATCTTAAAATAATGAAAAAGAAATACAATTTTATCTGATTTGTTACAAAAAAAATTTTAAGTGGCAGCGACAATGCATTGAGACCCTTTTTAATATTTCAATAATATATTCTTTTTTGGGAAACTCTGTATAAATACTTTTTTATAACTAAATAAATAAATAATAAGTAAACTAGGGTACTAACAAAATTGCTTTAAAGCTAAATATATAGCCTAGACAGCTTTCTAACGATCAAAATAATCCCTTATACTAGGGCCTACTATTATGTACTTTGAGCGGATTATACCCACATTTGTTGGAGCCTAGCGTAGGAGCTTCGGCTGCTGGAGCCGGCGGCTGTTTGGTCGGCTTCTTTTGAGCCCGTGCCAGTGACGCAACGTGCTCCACATTGATAACAGCGGGACTCTTATCGGGCAGCTGCGGCTGCGGCTCGCTGGCAGTGACCTCGGGAGCGCCTGTCGCGTCATCGGCATCGGCTTCCCCGTCGCCCTCGCCCGCTTCTGGCTTGGACTCCCGCTTGCCGTCGCGCAAAAATCGATTCATGCGCCGCAGAATGCGCTTGTTCGACTTGGACAGCTTGAACTCCAAGGCATCGCACTTGATCGTGTAGCAGGGGCAGCACGTCTCCTGGTTGCGCAGCTTGTAGCAGTAGTTGCCGCACCGCCTCCAGCCGCGATCGATGAGGTTCTGATAGTCCTGGCAGTCCAGCCGATAGGCGTGCATACCTGTCATACATGGCGAATGCGCGATAATAGGTACATTGCACCTGGACCTTCTGAACTGGTTTTGCATGTTCTTACCGTGCGACAGGCTGCAGTTTGCTCCCGCGCAGTAGCCGCATTTGCTCTGCTGGTTGCCATAGTACTGCACGATGCTGACACTCATTATTCTGCTTTCCCTTCGTCGTTTAGAGTGCAAACATAGTGCTTTTAATCACGATTTAAACAATAAATTAAGCTGCGAGCCGCTCTGTTGCGAATTTTTCTTAGTCTTCTAGTGTGACCAAGGCGCGTTGGCTAAAAATACCTTGGAGTTAAAGAATAAGGGTGTTGATAGCCTGAGTCCACTGAAACTAATTTTAGCATTTTAAATGTGTTTGAATAAGATTTTCAACTGGGTATTACATAAGCAGAGAGGTGTTAGGAGTTGAAAGTTCAACATTAGAAAATTGTAAACATAATTTTAAATATTTGCTTGGAGTCATGAAACAATTCTGGAAACAATGCAAAACTTAAAAATTTAAATTTGTATAAATTTGTTTAGAAATGTCTATGTACGTATGTGGTTTTGGGTTATCAATTACAAAAACAAAATATGCTTTCAAAAATAAATTACTTATTCAGAAAAACTATATTCATATTGACAACCGCATCGTGTTTGATTTATTTAGAAAAAGTCAAAATAGTAGTATACCGTTACATTTCGTTGAAATCAAATTCAAAATAAATCTTTCAAAATTCGAGAATATCCCCTTCGTAAATTATAGAGTAACGGCATTTTTTGAACACAGCCACACTGTTACCAGCAGTCGGTTAAATCGGTCGCGAAGTCCAATAACAATTGTAATGCTAGAGCCCGCAATAGTTGGGCCAATTAAGAATGTATTAAGCTAAAAGTGAAGAGCCCTTAATCTGTAAGTAAATTTGATAATAAACAACCAGAGTGCAGAACCATGTCACATTGGGCAGAAAGAACTCCAGACTAATTGTTTTAGTGCGTAGTTGTGAAGTGAAAGTTTTCAATGGGCTTTCTTCGGTTCATAGTGTAATTAAAGTTTAGAAAAACTAAAATTGTTATACAAACTTATTATCAACTGGGAATTGACTTATCTTTAGTTCCCTAACTGCATTCGTGGCCAGTAGTAAACTGGTTTGAGCTCTATTTTCGACCTTCACACCATCAAAGTTAGTCACTCTAATCCCCGGAAAAGCAATGCAATAGTTGGACATGGTTTATCACCTGTGCACATGCGATGGTCTTTGTGCGCAACAGTGGCTAATAAAAGCATTACTAACTTGATTTTCTTGGCAGCGCTCAATGATTGACGCCGCTTCCGCCGAGCGGGGAAGCCCCAAGTTTATTGCCCCCTTCAATGACAATCTGAAACTGGGCCACCAGGACGACAACCCACAACCGATGAACGGAAAGGACACCGATAGCCACATACCCGCCGACCTGCAAACGGAATACAGAACATTGTTTGCCGCCTGCCAGGATCACGCCGCCTTCTTCGCCAGGGACCACACCGAATTTGGCCAGCGGCTCCACGCCGCCCACATTGCCTGGCAGGACTTTATCGTCCTGGCCAACCGGCTGGTCCTGCAGATCGAGGCCTTCGCCCACGAGTACGACTTTGACGAGCAGACGCCGGGCAATGGATACCGGAGCTTTATCTATGTGACCAATGCCTGCATCACGCACGGAGTAGGCATCTGCCAACAGCTGACGGCCACCCGTTCCGCCATGTTCTTCCGCAAGAAGTTCTACATGAAGGAGGTGGAGGCCTGCTCCCAGCTGCTGTCCTCGCTGTGCACCTGCATGCAGTACCTGCTTATCCTGCGCCAGTGGTCGGCCAGCACGGGGGACCTGTTCGCTTGCGGGAACCACACGGCCGAACAGCTCTTCGAGTTGGGCGACACCATCAACCAGTATTGCTTTTACGGACGCTGCCTAGGCTTTCAGTACGGCGACTCGATACGCGGCGTTCTCCGCTTCCTGGGCATCAGTATGGCCAGCTACTCTGAATCCTACTACTCCCAGGAGGGCGACGGCGCCATCGTTAAGACCACTCGCAGCCTGTGGACCAGCGGCAAGTACCTAATGAATCCGGAGCTACGCGCTCGTCGCATCGTTAACATCTCGCAAAATGCCAAGATCGACTTTTGCAAATCCTTCTGGTTTCTGGCGGAATCCGAGATGATGCACAAGCTGCCCAGCATTGTGGGCAGCTCTATTAAGGTGAACCGCCTGATCGAGTTGCCGGCGGAACCGCTGAAGCTGCCCCGACGTAAGGACTTCAAGCCACCGGAAACCCCCGGCAACGATGTCAATCAGAACCAAGGGGATGACGAGTTTGTGGTGATCCCCGTGCCTACAGCTCACCTGGGACCTGGTCTACCGGTATCTGTCCGCCTGCTGAGCGCCAAAAGACGATCGGGAATGCTCGGTGAAGGTCGCTATCGCGGTTGGCAAAAGCCCACACCGCCGAGTCCCTCCATTCTGTTTCACTGCCATGGCGGTGGCTTTGTGGCCCAATCCTCCAAGTCCCACGAACTATATTTGCGCGACTGGGCCGTGGCACTGGACTGTCCCATTCTCTCGGTGGATTACAGTTTGGCGCCGGAGGCTCCGTTTCCACGCGCCTTGCAGGAGGTTTACTACGCCTACTGCTGGCTTCTGAACAATACCGAACTCCTAGGCACAACGGCTGAGCGGATTGTGTGCGCTGGAGACTCGGCTGGGGCGAATCTGTCCATTGGAGTGGCCCTCAAGTGCATCGAGCAGGGAGTTCGAGTGCCGGACGGACTGTTTCTGGCCTACTGCCCGACTCTCGTTAGCTTCGTGCCCAGTCCTGCCCGCCTCCTTTGCCTGATGGATCCGCTGCTACCCTTCGGCTTCATGATGCGTTGCCTTCGTGCCTATGCAGCGCCCGCCCAGGAGACGCTCCAGGAGAATGCTAAGCATGTGGAGGATGCTGCCCAGATACGTAATGTCCCGAAGTCAAACGTGGGCAGCTTGAACTCCAGCCGTCGAACCTCGATGGCCAGAAGTCCGCTCACTCTCCTGGAAGCCAACACCGAGCAGGATGACGAAAGCAGCGACACCTTTGCCAGTGCCTCGGCTTCTTACCATAGCCAGACCGTGGAGCGAACCGATCTTCCCAACAGCGAGGGCGACAACAGCTCATGTGTCTCCTTCGAAGACGACTCGCAGCCTATTGTCCACTACCCGATTGAAATATCAGCCGACCCACCTAAGGACACCGCATCTGCAGCGTATATTGACAACTTTCTGGACAAGTATCTCATTGATACCGCCACAATGGAGGTTACCGAAGAGACAGCTGCTGAGGCGACGCAAGTCCAGGCGAATGGGCATGCCAAGATCAGCCCGGACGATGATATTCTGGTGGAGACTGGTCGAGACCTCGTTGCAATAGATACGCTGCAGGGTCGGCTGCAGGAAGCCGTCAACAATATAACTAATACATTGAACCGCTGCACGCAATCCTATGCGATTCATGGGAGCAACGTGATGGGTCAACAGGATGTGCGCAACATGGATGCGCTGATAGCTCGGAGTCCCAGCGAGGAGTTTGCATTCGATGTGCCTAGGGATCCATTTTTGTCGCCCTACTGGGCCAGCGATGAATGGCTTTCCCAACTGCCAGAGACCAAAATACTTGTAAGTTAACAAAGTAACAAAAAGTATTGTATGAAATAATTTTATTTTTTCCCTTATATAGACTCTTAACATGGATCCCTGTCTCGATGACTGCGTTATGTTTGCCAAGAAACTAAAGCGCCTTGGTCGCCAAGTAAACTTGGAAATCCTGGAAGGGCTTCCGCACGGATTCCTCAATTTCACCATGGTATGAAACCTGTCGTCCAGAGAAATGAAATAAATTAATGTCTACTTCTTCAATTTAGTTATCCAACGAAGCCATGGAGGGATCCAAAAAATGCATTAGATCTCTACAGACGTTGCTTCAAGTTAATCCGAAGCTTAAGACAAATGACAAAGAGAGCTCGCTGGACGACGAGGAGTCCTCCAGTCCCAGTGCAAGCTTGGCAGCTTCATAGGATGAGTTTCAATCGGTCTATATGCCTATAGGACTGGAGAACCAAACACCCGACGAGGAACAATAAAAAACCGATGGTAAATTGTGAGTGACAACGGGATCTCAGCATCACTGTAAAATATTGTCACCTGCATTTATCCCCATTGGATTTCTCCTTTCACATAGGCGTGTAAATCGAATATTGTTATGCGCAGGAACAAATTGAATTGTTCATTGTTAAACGCACTTTTCTTGCTTTTTTATGTAATCTCAAATGTTTTTTATACACTTTTATATGACACAGCTTTCTATGTTTTATATACTCACAAAATATGTATAGGATATATCGCTTTTAGCATAAGCAAGCCAAGTATGCAAGTATTGGAAGCGTGTAAACACGCACTATTTATTACGTATATTTACGATAAACGCTCTTGATTCCAGGCACACACTCGCTAAGAGCTGTTTAATGAAAAACTCCCGAATATGTGCCTGATACGAAACGAGTACTTATATACATGTGTATAGAATATTCGCTCTTTACCCTTTTTTTTTCACAACCCCCAATAGTGTGTCCAGTTTTTTTTGGAGCTATGGAGGCTAACAAAGTTCAACTTTAACTATGTTGGAGATATGCCTAGTTTTCTTTGCCTATCCCATGCGGAACCGTCTGAATGTATATCTTTGGTACACCAGGTGTTTGATATATTATTCACTTTATATATGTTTGCAATCTCTATCCTTAAACTATACCCCCAGTGTTATACATAAAATGCGAATAAATGGTTATTAACATTACACAATATAGATTTTATTGATCAAAAATGCGGATTTAGCTTAAAAATTAGGAATGAATTGTACGTGAGAGGATGAGGAGTTACGATAGGCAGATAAATATGAGGAAGACCGCTGATTTATGTCTCGTTGTCCTCGATCTTGGGTGCCAGGTAGTAGCGAATATGACCCAGATCCTTGATCGCATACTCGACCACCAGTGGAACATCTGCGCACATCGACAGCTGCACCTGAGTAGACAATGGCGTCGCCTTTGTGAAGGCGTTCAGGTAGCGACAGGCAAACGTGAGGGTCACGGGTTCCTGCATCTCGATGATCACTGCCTCCTCCTCTTTGTCAACGGATCCGGTTTGGGCCAGCTTGATGTTGGCCGTGCCCACATCGCCGCTGGCCGAGAACTTGACGCCCTCCTTGGTGCAGCAGATAACGACAGACTCGCTGAATTGCGCCAGATCGCGACAGATGCGAGCAAACTCCATGGCCGGCATGCGGACCACGCACGAAAAATCCGTCTCTGGGATGCCTAGGTGCTCCTGGTCAAGGTTCATCAGCTTCATCTCGTAGTCGGAGACCTTCTCCTGGTTGGCCGACTCGAACATGATGGTGACGGTGTCGGCGTTGTCCTGCGCCTTCATCGTCACGTTGTCCTCGTTGTTGGCGCACTTGAGGATCTTGGCCATGCTGCCCAGGTTCATGCCCATGGAGAGGTTGCGGTCGCAGCGGAACTTGTCGAAGCCATCGGATCGCAGGGTAAGCGAGACGAGCGACACATGGGAGTTGTCCATGGCCTGCAGCTGTGGGATTAACAAGGAGTTAGGATATCCCTGTTGCTTAAGATCTTTACTAAGTAGTTTTTACCTGAATGCCGGAATCGCTGCAATCGAAGGTGGCCTCATTGAGCAGATCCTTGATGGCGTCCAGGATCTTCTTAAGGATGGTGGCTTGTCCCAATCGTGCCTCGAACATGTTGTATGTGTTTCTTTGTTTAAATACTGGGTTATAAAATTAGCAGTTAATGTTGCCGCGGCAGTTTCTTTATGATGAATGACGAACGTGGGCAATTTTTTACTTATGCATCGGATCAGGCGGGCTAAATGAGCGGGAAAGAGATGTGCAAAGCCACAGGCGATATCGATTGCGAGTGCACGGTAGCTATCGATAGCAGTTAGCAGTGGAACTGCCAATCTGATGGATCAACTTTACAGGAATGGTCACTCTAAGGACAGAATTATATTTTTTAAATAGACAAAGTACATAATTTTGAAATATTCATATTACACATTTTTAACGAAGACTGTTACTTATAAAAGCACGAGGCGCGGACCTATTCTGCTTGTTCAAACGAGCTGCTTGTCTCATCATTCCTCGCAGTTCTTCAACTCCCAGACCTGTAATGAATTTAAGTTGTTAAATGTTTGTTATATATAAAATGTATATTTTTGTGTACTTACCATGCACTGTTTGAGTTTCCTGCACTCCCTGTGGATCCAATTGAGTAAAGTATGCCTCCAGGGCGGAATGTCTTTGCATTACGGCCACGCTGAGAGCCGGGATCATTGAGGATAGGTTGAAGTCCATGTAGGATCGTCGTCGTAGCAGCTCCTTAACCAAGGGCAAATGGCCAGCATAGCTCGCCAATGTAAGAGCATTTTGACCAAAATAGTTCATAGCGAAGATATTTCCACCAAACTCCAGAAGTGTGCGGGCACAATCAAATCTTCCCAAATAACAGGCCTTCAAGAGGGCGGTGTTTCCGTAGCTGTCCACTTCCTCGAGGTTGTACTGTCTGCCATCGCGTGCCATTGTGCAGACTATTCGCAGGGAGACTATATCATCTTGTCCCACGCAGTTGAGGGCTTGAATAAAATGATTAATTTCTGAGAGTATTTGTCAATTTAATTTACCATTTATTTCACCCATTCTGCAAGGCTTTTCATATAACGGCGGTTTGCCAGGGATACAAAACAATCTTGTTAATTAGGGTATTCTCTTATAAATTAAAGTTAATCAAAGAGGCAACATGATTAACTACATAAATGTAATGTTTGAAAATTAAACAAAAGCTACAATTATCCAATCAACCATAAATTATCAGAGATTTATGGTCAAATTAATGATCTACGTGAGGGAGGGCCAAAAGCGTTTATTTTATTTGTGAATCCATTCAAAAACAGCGAAGGATTTATTTTGTAATGGACTTTTAAAAATATTTAATTTAAATTTTTTAGATTTTTATTCATACAAATCCAGACAGTTATTCATTAATGCTTATTATAATATATAAAAAAAAATCAAAAAATGTTTGTTAACTTTTGGAGTTTTGAAATAAAAATCAGAACCAGACTGTTATTTTTACTTAAACAATTATAACCGCTACGATTCATACGTTACGGTTCTATTCCACTCATTATTGAACTTAATTGGGACTTGTTTTTAGAATATAAAATTTAAACAAACATGTGAATAGTGCGCAGCATTTTAGTAAATTCAGGGATGGAGTGCGCTTAACAGCACGCAATGAGGTAGTAACAGCACGGTAAATGAACGTGGCAGCCATTTTTAGGACCTTTTCTTCTCCTCAGGCAGCCACATTAATTCGGCCTTCTTTTCTTTTCCCGTTTCCGGTGAGTGGTGTGCTCCGTGTTTAATTTTATTGCAATTTTTAACCAAAATATCCCTTAATTTATTGCAGTGAGGAGTAAATACGAGAATACAAACGGCAACATGGTGAGTGGTCTATAAAGAATTAGAAATCAAGGCATTTAAAAACAAGAGAAAGACTAATATACATTGTCAAAATGTTTAGTGCCTCCTGTTGCAAGAATGCGAAAATGGCGTGGTTTGTTAACCATTTTATTGACTTTTTATCTTGTCTTGCAGTCGCTCGTCATCCCAGAGAAGTTCCAGCACATCCTGCGTATCATGAATACGAACATTGACGGCAAGCGCAAGGTGGGCATCGCCATGACCGCCATCAAGGGAGTGGGTCGCCGCTACTCCAACATTGTGCTGAAGAAGGCCGATGTCGATCTTACCAAGCGCGCCGGTGAATGCACCGAGGAGGAGGTAAGCTGGAGGAGCTCACCCTGCTAGTCCCGGCACACCCACTAATCCTGCTTTCCGTCCATCCACAGGTTGACAAGGTTGTCACCATCATCTCCAACCCCCTGCAGTACAAGGTTCCCAACTGGTTCCTTAACAGGCAGAAGGACATCATCGATGGCAAGTACTGGCAGCTGACCTCCTCCAACTTGGACTCCAAGCTGCGTGACGATCTGGAGCGTCTGAAGAAGATCCGCTCCCACCGTGGTCTGCGTCACTACTGGGGCCTCCGTGTCCGTGGCCAGCACACCAAGACCACCGGTCGTCGCGGTCGCACCGTGGGTGTGTCCAAGAAGAAGTAAGCTGCTACGTTCCCTGCTGGATTTCCGAATCTACTTTAATTTTCACATCAACCACAAAATAAAAGAAAACACGGAAGCCGGAACGTTTTAGTGCGGAGTATACGTGAAGTTTGTTATATTTCTAATGTGTCTACGTGCTGGCGTCATCAAAACATTTCGAAAATGTCCAGTGGTCCCCCGCCAGCAAAGCCGCAGAGCAGCATCTGCATGCTGTGGCTGGTCATTTGCAAGACGGCTCGCTTCCAGCTGGCCAATACGCTGACCAGCGTTATCATCATTGTGGGGCCCATCGTTGTTTTCCTCGTCTATGCGGCCACGGCTCTGTTCCGGGAGCCGTTGGCAGATTCTGCGGTAAAGCACCCACCAGTCAATATCACCATAAGCGAAGTGCCGTATGTATAAGTCACCCACAGACTGCCACAATAATCCAGGCCACCCTGACACACACCCAATGAACCAGGTACATTTTATACTCACCTGAGAATCTGGTTGTGGCTGCTGTCATTGAGGATGTGGTCCGCGATCTGAAAGCCAAAGGTAGCGAGGCTTTTCCCAGCGCCTTTCAGTTAAATCGCGCTCTAGTGGAAAAGAATACATACGGCTACGTGGGCATTGAGTTTGAAGACACCTTCAGCGGCATTAAGGTTCTCCCGGATAAAGTCACGGTGGCCTTACGCTTCCCACTTCACTTGATAACGAATCCCAAGCTGACTTGGGACGACAGGGCGATCTGCAAGCACTCCGACATGGACACTGATTACTATCTGGAAGAGGGATTCCTAGCTGTGCAGGCCAAACTGAGCGAGGCGTTGATCAGGGCCAAAAACGAAAGCGCCATCCTTCCAGAAGTGATGGTGAATCCCTATCCAGACCCCAAGCACTTAGAGGGCACATTCATGGATAACAGGTTGTCTTTGACTGGGGTCCTTCTCCTGCCCTTCACCATATCCGCCGCATATCTCGCACAAGTATCCCTTCTAAACCCGAATACGTGTATATGGTAGTTGATGAGTATTTTTCAGATGATTGTAATGGAGAGGAGGGAGCAACTGAGGGCCATGTTGGAGCTTCTGGGCGTCAGGGCGTGGATCTACTGGATGTCCTGGTTTTTGGTGGCATTTCTCCTCTTATCCATTCCCACCGTGTTTATGATTCTCCTGCTGAAGTGGCGCTACTATCCGATGAGCGATTGGTCTCTGGTGCTGTTCTTTCTTTTGGTCTACAACTTCGAGGTCTTGTGCTCGGCCTTCATGATTTCATCCTTTTTCTCGGACACTGTCGGGGTGCAGGTGGCCATCCTGATCGTGCACTTAGTTGGCTGCCTGCCGTGGCGTGTATTGATTATGGGTTATGCGCCCACTGTACCAAAAGCTCTCTTCGTCTGCGTGTTCCTCAATAGCTCGTTGGCCATGGGACTGCAAGAATTCTTGAAAAGCGAAAACCTCCACATAGGAATGCATTGGAACAGACTCTTCGAGAAGACCGATTGGAAAGAAGAATTTATAAACTTAGGCCCCATTCTTATGTTCATGATGCTCGGAGGCGTGGTGCGCTTGCTAGTTCTGGTCTACGTGGAGCACCTGAAGAGCCACCAGACCAAGAAGTGGTACTTTCCGGTCCAGCCATCCTTTTGGTGCCCGGGAAGGGGGCGGCGGCAAACCAGCGAGCGTGATCTTGAGTGGCAGGAGGATGAGGAGTTTAGGGACCGCCCATTGATTATCCGAACCAAGAACCTTGAAAAGGTTTACAACAAGCGCTCTGTTGTCACCGATGTCAATCTAGATTTTTACCAGGATGAGATCACAGTGATCCTGGGGCACAACGATTCGGGCAAGACGACAATACTTATGCTCCTGGCCGGGTTCGTGAAACCCACCTCCGGCGAGGTGACCATCAACGGATATGACCTGGCCACCAAGCTGAGAAAGGCGCGTCAGTCGATGTGCATTTGCCCGCAACACAATGTGCTCTTCGAGAAGGTCAAAGCCAGATGGCACCTCAATTTCTTCTGCCGGCTGAAGGGAATGAACCGGAAAGAGGCTTCTGCCGAGACGGACAAGTATCTGGAGATCGGCCTTTTGCAGGAATTTGCCGACACGAAGGTTAAGGATCTTCCCAGCGGCATGAAGCGAATGCTCATGCTGTGCTGCAACCTGTGCGGCAACTCGAAGGTTTGACAGTCATCTCCCTAGAAACCGGTGTAACTTCCATGTATTGCAGATCCTGCTCTTGGACGAGCCGGGCACCAGTCTCGATCCTCTGCTGCGTAACGAAATGTGGAACCTGCTGCGCCGTGAACGAATGGGGCGCTGCATCATCATGTCCACGCACAACACGCAGGAGGCCGAGGTGGTCTCGGATGAGATTGTTATCCTGTGCGATGGCCAAGTGATCGGTGTCGGCACCACCGGTTTCCTCACTCAGGTGGCCGACACGGGCTCCTTCTACCTTCTGATCTGCACCAAGATGGACGCCTGCTATGTGGAAGAGGTGACGCACTTTCTGCAGATCCGTTTTCCGGACATCAGGCTGCATAATGAGTACGGTATTTACGTATCCTACGAAGTGCCCACAAAATATGTGCAGCAGTTCCCGGTTTTGTTACTGGAGCTGGAGAATGCTCTGCCAGATCTGTTGCTCCAGGAGTTTAGTTTGTGTGCCCCCACACTAGGCAGTGTCTTTCTGAGGATTGGAGAGGAAGTGCGGGAGGCCTGGGGCCGGAGCAACTCAGTGAACTTGGTCTCAAGGCTTTCGCCCATATCATCTCTGCTTAGTAAGTCCAACACATTCATATCTTACTATCATTTTAAACAGAAAGTATGTTTTGAACTCCATACACTTTCTAGGTTAAATGAGGAAAACGGAACTTAAAGTTATAAACTAAAGTTACTGGAAAGATAGCATTATTAATATTTTATACATTTGCTCAACTATGCTCTCGCTAAGCTCTGATGTATATAATTATTTTAAAAGTAAAAGAAGTTTTAGTCAATAACTAATAGGTTTCAATGTCTTTCAGTATATTGTATATGTAGTTTGGTTTGGAAAGGTGGTTCTATTTGCATTTTATGGTTCTTAACCGCTGAACATTGATATAAACTTATTTCAAGAAGATATTGCACCAATGCAAATGCTTATAAAATATAAATAGAATAATACAAAACTTTTCTTAACCCATTAAGAACCCAATCTAAATGTCATATTTTTTGTAAAAGTTAACTTGTTTAACTTTTTTCCTCAGCCTGAACAACAAATATTTTGATGTTAAAAGTTTCTAATAGGACTCATAGGACCACAACATTTTTTTTAATCTTTGCTCAAATTTTAAATGACTTAAGGATAAAAATTGTTAAAAAATTTTATTTGAGTCATTTTTCCGCCATTTAATAGTACATTTTACTGAGATCGTCCCATTAAAAATATCATAATAATAAATTGTATTTTATTTCGCTTTTCAAAGCCTACCGAGAACCGAAAATAGTTATTAAGTTATGACTTTACGCCCATATCTATCAAGAACATGGTCACTAATGTCACATCCAGTAGATAAATGTGAAGTGTAAAATGTAAAGTAAATAAAAATGTAAACGTCGATGGTTCTTCGCCTTTACTTAAAGGTTTACTTTACCTTGATGTTGGTTAGCTTATTAACGGGTATCTGATAGTCGAGCCACTCGACTATACCGTTGTCTCTTGTTTTGATTTGTTATTATATATCTTCTACATATTATAGACCTCCTTCCCACCTTCGATGTCCGCGAGGACAACGGAAGCGTAAAGTGCAGCAATCAGTGGCGGGCCATCATGGAGAGGAAGAGAATCTTCGCGTGGCGCAACCGAAGGTTGTACTGCGTTATCATCATAATTCCGATCTTCGTTTGCGTGCTGGTCATCAGTTTTGCGATCCTACTGTTTATACTTGACAATCATCTTTCCGAGCTACTGGTCACGGACCTGGGACTCTATTCCAAGGCGGTGTTTGTGATCGAATCGCCCGGGGACGAGGATAGCTTTGGCCAGCGCTACAGGCAGAATATATTGAGTCGAGGAGCCTCTGTGCGCAGCACAAAGGGAACTCCTCTCGACGACTATCTTCTGAAGCAGATGAAGTCTAACCAGTTGAAAGTGATGCACTCACTTTTGGCCGGCGTTACCTTTAACAGTACCGCCAATTCGATTGTCGCCTGGGCGAACAACAAGCTCGAGCACGGTTCCCCACTTTCCTTGGGCATGGTTTACGCGGCCATTGGACATGAGCTGGCCCAACTAGACATTGAGATTGTTAACAAACCGTTCCAGGACTCGGTTCTGCAGGCAATGTCCGGCATCAGCGAGTACTTCTACATAGAGTACGCCATGCTGGTGTTCCATTACCTTATAGTGGCAACCACCATTTTTGCCGCCCTGCCGATCATCGAGCGTCAGACCAATGTGCAGCACCAGCAATTTTGCAGCGGGATGAGCCGGATCACCTACTGGCTGTCGCACCTGTTCTGGGACTATTGCTACTACATCGTAATGATCGCGGCGCTGATCGTGGTCAACGGAATTGTAGTGAAATCGCCTCTACCTGTCACACTCTTACTGATCGCCTTCGGCTTCTCCGTCATTTCGTTCACCTACTTGTTGTGCCTGATGTCCAATGATTTTGGCAGGATGTTCAGCCTTATACTGTACATTAACATGATAGGTTACCAAAGCTTATTCGTATGCCTATAGGATTTTTTACTGAAATTTAATTTTCAGGTGTCCTGGCCTTGTTCATCCATCCCAAGAGCAACGAAACCCGCTACGCTATTCTTGAGACCATGCTCTTGGCTCATCCACATTACTCATTTTTTTGTGGCATGCATGATATCATGTTAAGGAGGTGTGTCTACGGCTGGAAATACCACAAATTTCTGCTAATCAGCGGTACAGTGTACCTGATCCTGGTCCTTTTGGCGTGGGTTCCGCGTCGAGTGAGCTATGCCTTCAAGTTATGTTGAGATCAAGCGTCCTTTTTATGCTATGCTGACTAAATACCAATTGTTTTCCAGATCTGTTAGGAACGAAAAGATAGACCCAAGCCATAGAATTGAGGATAAGGAAGTTAGCGAAGTCCGGCAGAGATTAGGCTACTTGACAACAAGAGAATATAATAATTTCCCTCTCATTCTGAAGAACGTTTCCAAACGATACGGCAGTTTATTGGCAGTAAGATCTTTAACACTGGACGTTAATCCGTGAGTCTAAATTAATATTTTCCATTATCCAATAAAACAAAGCAAAAACAGGGAGTGATTTTTTTAACTCGACTGCCTTGACTACTTAGCCGTTAAACTGATTACCAATTTGCAATTACCGCCACTAGCTTTTAAAATACATTTTACACATTCCTCTAGTATACCTACTAAATCGAGAATAAGTATACTTTATAGGGTAGGTTAGGAAGGTTATATTTCGAAGATATTAATATTCTGTATAAACCCTGCAGATCTAGGCATTTGCTTACAGCAGGTGAAATAAGTATTTACTAGAAAAGCACCTGTACTTACTTTACTGATGTCTTGTAGAAATGTGAGCATGTAAGCTCACGTAAAATTGTTACACTTCGTGTAAAATTGGTGTAAAATTAGTAAAACTGGAAGGTAAACAATTTAAAAAAGGAAGCATTTCAAAAAGTATTATAAAAATGGAAAGGATTACAAAAAATATATTTTTTATTAATACCAAAACAAAGGAAAATATATAATAATAATACTTTCACACAAAAAAGTTCTGGTCGAAAGGGTTAAAACTATAGCTGTTCTTGATATTTAAAAACAATTTTTTTCTGATCTGTTTGAAAACATTGTCTGCAGTTTATAAGAGACAATTGTTTAGTTCAAATATTAATTACACATAGTTAAATATAATTTCTATTCCCTCGCTGCAGCTTCGAGTGCGTTGGTCTGCTGGGAAGGAATGGGGCGGGCAAATCCAGCACCTTCTACATGATCGTAGGCATGAGGTCGATCACCGTGGGCAGCATTCACATCCTGGGATTCAGTTTGAAGAGTCGTCCAAAGGACGGTCTGCGACTCGTGGGCTTCTGTCCGCGGGAAGAGATGCTTTCGCCGTACATGACCGGCAGGGAAACGCTGCACTTCTGTTGCATGATCAACGGCATCCGGCGGGAGCACATCAACAGACTGGTGGAGTCAATGGGCGAGTGCTTTGGACTGGCCCGCCACATGAACATGCGTATCAGCACCTACAGCAACGGCACCAAGCGGAAGCTAATGATTGCCATGGCCACCCTGGCGCCCACGCTGATGTGCCTCGATGAGCCCACTGCCGGCGTGGACATGCATGCCAAGTACGATATCTGGAAGATTCTGGAGGGCATCCGACAAGGCGGTCGCGCCATCCTCCTCACCACGCACAGCATGGAGGAGTGCGAGTTCCTGTGCACTAATGTGGGCATCATGGATCACGGTTCGCTGCTCTGCTACGGAACTTTGTCGCGTCTGAAGTACCGCTTCAACAAGGGAATCTTTGTCAAAGTGAAGATGGGCACCCAGGCGGAAATGGATGATGCGGCGGAGGTGTATGGGCGGATCACCATGTTGCCCTCAAGTGACAGTGAAAGGGCAAGCACGCGTAGTTCTCGTCGGATGTCATTGGCGCACTTGGTACGACATCATAAGCCCACAATGGAAGCAGTCAGGAAGTCGGAATTTAGCCGATCTCAAGTGAGCACCGGCCTCTCCGAATTGGACAACCTTGAGAACTATGACCTTTTGTTGCAAAGATTAGAGGAAGTTTTCCAAAGGGACCATCCCTACAGCAGTGTCAGGTATGTAGATCTTTATCACTTGTCTACATACTAAGGCATCGATATAAGTATAGCCATATATAAAAATTCCTTATAAATAAATACGTGTGTAATTTTCGACACCAATTGTTTTAAAACAAACTTAATATGGCTTTAAAAATAATTCATAAAAAAAAAATTCAAATTCCAACTTTTGTATTGCTTTTTGAATGGGAGCTTGCTTTTGGAATTAAGATATTCTGCACCAAACTACTTTAAGCAGAAACAGTAAGGATTTTGAATTTTAAATTATTTTGGACGCCCTATTATACAAAACTGTACAAGCTATTCAAGCCGTTTGTTTTCCCCAGCAGATAGGAATACTTATATAGGTATATACTTATAAACAACTACTTTTTTTACTTTGGCAATGAACTACGGTTTTTTTTCAATAACTTGTAAACAGATAAATAACAATCATCACATACTTTATAAGTTAAACTTTTATAATTTATAATACCCACTTTCTCTATTCAGCGACAAGTATCCCTACCGAGGAATGATTACCTTCTGCATTCCAAAAGGGATGGTAACGTGGTCTGCGATTTTTCTGTACATGGAGAACTTAAAAAATTCCATGCAGATATTGTACTACTCGGTCAGTCAAACGACTTTCGAAGATGTGTTTATGGAGTTTGTGAGGAAGCATAATGAATAAATAGTAACTTCCTAAATGAATCATACATTTGCTCTATCAACCTGCTGAGTGCCGGAACGCTTATCGTATCTCTGGATTTGAATAGATATCTGTGAAAGTTTCTTCCACCAAATGCTAACAAATCGCAAAAATTCAGTTTAACGTTGCGAAAAGAGAGTAAATAAATCAGGCGATTTCGCTGAATCATGAACCGGCATTTTCGGCAAACTGATACTCTGGTTTGTAAAATTGTTTGTATATATTTTATAACATATGTAGCTAACAAATAAATTTTAAATTAAACTTTTGTCCAATCACTCCCAAAAAAAATATTTATTTTGTAAAACCAGTCGTTTACTAAGGGTAAACAAATGCCGGTTAAAGTCCAGCTATTATTTTTGCGGCTTTGGTTTCTTCTTTTGTCAGAACGTTTGCCAAAAAAGTGTGTCATGCGAGTCTATTGGTACTTTGAACCCTTGATCAGAAAACTTTCCACAAACAAGACAAACGTGGACAAGTTTTATTAACGATGTTTCGACATATTTCAATTGGCGTTTGTTTACAAGCAAACCCATTCACATGGTGGGTGACCCATGCCTTTTCCAATTTTAAGCAATTTGCTGTCTCCGACCCTCAATTAGACTTTGTTCACGCATGGCGCAATGGTCAATTGGCATAGGTAAACGCTCAAAAGTTGTGGCATTCGTTCCAAAATAGATTCCTCATAGAGTACGCAATGTTGGGAGAGCCTCGTGTAACCTTGATAGCTGATAGCGTACGAATTTTCTTATCGGAGGAAGTTCTCAGCTCATCGTGATTTCTGTGAAATATGAGCCTCCCAAAGTAATGGTAAATTTCCAAGCCGCAGCTTTACTATAAGTTTCATGTTTCCGTAACAAAAAGTCTGCCTTTCCAATCACGTTTTCTAGAACATTTTTTTTTTAATAGTCAGCAGTTTTGTTTTTAGAAATACATATAACTTTCACCGCTCCGATATTGTTCAAAAGTTGATTGCGACACGACATGCATATATATGTATTTGATTCTATAGTATATTTGTGTACATCTAGAGGTATATAGTTAAACACAATTCACAAAGTGGCGCAATGCAATGCTTACAGAACATTTCTAGTAACTATTTATAGGGGTGCTCACTGTAGTGTGTATATAAAACCTAGACCTCGATCTGTGTTATGTGAAATAAAAGGTGATCATGAAAATATCGAATGACTGAGTAAACAGATTTTGTAAGATTAAAAATGTATAAATATAAATATCCCAATAAAATTAAGTATACAACTAAATTAATAATTTATGTGAGACATTGTGGCTGCCAATGCCAATGCACGGGAAAGTAGTCGGCAAACACGCTTTTGGTTTCGATTAGTTATTGTCATTTGAGGTAGAAATCTACTGTTTAAATTGAATTGTAAAAAACATTTGACTATTTCAACGAGGCTTCTGAATGATCTGCTTGCGAACATTTGCAACTCGGTTAATAACTACTAATTATCGTTGTTTAATTGTATATGGAAGACTCTGTTTTGGTCGCTCTGTATGCAAAATTTGTTCACACAGGTATACAAAAAGGTCACATAGTTATGCACTTTTAGGTACGACATCCGTAACAGGACTAAGCAAATACCGCGTTTGTATAGCCGACGCCTTCTGGAAATTCTTTTCACTTCATAAATATTTTACTCTAAGTTTAAGCCGGTCGAAACTACTGCTGAGTTAGCTTGGTGAGCGTTTCGTCCTGAGCCGTTTGTTTTCGTTGTTCTGCCTGGCGTCGCCAGCGACGAGACAGCATGGGTGCGAATAGGTCGTAGTCCAGTTCCTTCTGATACTTGTCCAAGTAGATTTCAGCGTTTTCTGCCCATCCAAAGTGCGCCAGCACAATACTGCTGCCATAGCCGACGGCCACGGCGATAAGAAAGCCGATCACACTTAACCACAAGTAGGAAATTCGATATAACCAGAAGTAGTGCGGTTCGATGACCACTGGGCTGCTATTTGCACTAAGTTCAATGGCATCTGCTAACAGAGCAGTGGCGTTCTCACAGCCGGAAGTGCTGAACTCCAAGGTAACGGGGCTTGGTTTGGGTCCGCCGAAACCCATCCAGAAGGAGACAATTAGCGAAACGAGGAATCCGAGCAGTACGCCTCGTTGATTGGTGCGCGTGGTACAAACCCCAAGAGTAAAGATGGCCAGCAGCGGTCCACCCACAACTCCGAAAATGGTGAGCGAGGCTTGAAGAACACCGCCCATGGAGCCAGCCACAAACGCCAATCCGATGCAGAGCAGGCCAAAAATACAAGCCACAATCTTAGTGGGCAAGGTGGATTTGGAGTCGATTAGCGTCCGCTTAAATATCGCCTTGTACAAGGGCTTCAGGTAATCCTCCAGCGTTACGGCGGAGAGTGAGGTGACAGCCGACGAAATCGTGGACAGACTGGCGGAGAATATTCCCGACACAAAGAGGCCGCACAGTCCAGGGTATTGACCTGCCGTTAAAAATAACTCAAATAAGAAGAAAGTCTTAAGGACATTGGCTAAACTCACCCATAGTGTCCAGTGCGAAGAGTGGCATGACCTGATCACGCTTTTCGATGCGTCCTTCGAGCACAGGATCACAGTCGCGATAGTAGTAGAATATAGCCAGGCCACTGAAGATGGTGCTAAAGCTAAGCATTCCTAGGATGGGCAAGTTCCACCAAAGCGCTGACTGAGCACTCTTTAAATTGTGGACACTCAACAGTCGCTGGACTTGTGTTTGATTCACTCCGTACAGGGATAGGTAGGTGACCATGCCGCCAATGATGAGTGACCACCAGGTGTGCCTCACAGTGGGGTCCAGGGAGAACTCATCGATCTGGATGCGGCCTCGCTCGACTGCCACCTCCCAGATAGCAGCGAATCCTCCCGCTTTAATGGCAGAGACAGCGATCACCGAGAAAATGGCGGCAAACATGAGGAAGGACTGAAACACATCCGTGATGAGCACCGCCTTCAGGCCGCCCAGTGTGGAGTAGAAGGTGCACACCAGTCCAATGACCACAATAGCCCATGAGCGCGGAATGTTTGTCACCGCCTCCAAAGCGAGAGCCGGAGCATAGAGGGCAATGCCCATGTAGAGAATCATTTGCACGGTGAACGCCAGGGAGGCGGACAACCGAGTGGCTTGGCCGAAGCGTCGCTCCAGGTACTCGTACACACTGGTCGTCCGCATTCTGTAGAAAACTGGCAGGAATATATTGGCGGCGATGGGTGTGCTTAGGATGTAGGCAATGTTGATCACGCAGAACATCGTTCCAAACTCGTAGGCCTCGTTGGAGACGCCCATCAGGGATATGGCGGACATGAAGCTGGCCATCAGGCTGAAGGAGACCGGGAAGGTGGTCATGCTCTGGTCAGCCATCAGGTACTCCTGGGTGGTCTTCTGCTGGCCGCCCGCAAAGCGGTAGTATATGCCTATCAGGGCCGAAATGACCAGGATGCTGATCAGGACAGCCGTGTCCCAGGCGTCGAATGTTCCCACGGGCATTTTGCTGATTGGGTTATCACAGAATAGCAGGTCGACGTCCGTCAGTGGCCTGAATTGATTTTTCCACAAACGTCACTGCCAGTGATTGAATCTCCCGCGTCGCAATGACCTTTCCAGCAGTCAGCGCTTTGTAAACTGCGTCCAAGTGCACGGGCGACGGACAAAAACAAATGCGTGCTCGCGAATCCAGTGCGCAGAAAAAGAAACGTTCTCTCCAAAGCTTCGACCGTTAAATAACTGATCAGCTGCGCGGTTGGAGTGACCGTTCCTGGAGAGGCAAAAAATATTTAGGTACTACCATTTCTTAAAAGTTCAATAACGCAAGCTTTACTATACTAATAGGGGTATTCCCTAAAGACCTAAATAATTTTAACAATATTCACCTATTCAGAAACAATGCAAAGTTGTTTAAATTGTTGTATTAATGAAATCATCATAGTATCACAACACTCTTTTTCACACTAACTCGATCTAAGCTGAATAGCTGTATTAAACTCATATTAAAAGTATGTTTTTTCGCCCCAACAATGTGACAATAAATGCAGTCAGACGAAAAAGCTTGCTCCATTGTTTTTTTGTAAATTGATTTTTGGAAAACGAAGAAACGAATGATTCATTAACATAAACTTTTACCCTTGGATTAAAAAATTAATAACAGCCATTTAAGGACTTTTCAGTTAACTTTAACAGTTAACAAATATATAATGTTTATCAGATGTATTAATTCGATTATACGAATTATAGATATATCTTGAGCACTTTCCTTAAAGTTTTTCAATGTGCGTCAAATTAGCGTCGGCCTGTTAGCAACGAAAACGGGAACGGTGGAATATGGAACATGGGGCCCTTTTTATTTTTAAATTTTCTCGCTATTTGGGGACCAAATCGAAAAATTTAAAATGCTAGATTGTTAAGAAAGAAAAGATCTATCGAGCTAGGTAGGTTTGGGACACATACGAGGCCTATTAGTATTTCAAAAATGCATTTGAAAAATCGTGTCCCCACAATTTTGTTAACTGCTCCCCTCACAGAGGTTGTGCCAATATGCACGATAAACTAAGCTATAAGGGGTTAATTCAAGCTCCTTGTCTGAAAGTTTCATCAAAATCAAACCCACAGTTTTCGAGAAAAAAGCCTAACAGTACCGCAACCTCGGATTTTCCCCATACAAAAAAGAGGGGCAAAAATGAAATTACCTACTGCTCCACTCCTAGAGGTTGTGCCAACATGCACGGTATATGGGTAGATAGGGGATAATCTAGGGACTGTTCTGTGAAAGTTTTATCAAAATCAAACCCACAGATTTTGAGAAAATTGCTTAACAGTTGGGGGTGTTAAAAAGGTTATTAAAAGGCCGTTTAATCCAGAAACGGAACCATTGGATACTAAGACATAAACCACAATGTAAACAGCTTAGCCATGACAATCATTCGACGCTAACTTTCTATAACTTTATACAGCTCTCACAGAGGTTGTGCCAACTTGCACGGTATCGCATTCGAAGGGGCATCATTAAAGCTAATTTCTAAATAAATTTCAGGCAATTCAAACCCACAGTTTTCGAGAAATTCAAGTCTTTTCAATTATGGCTTTTGCCACGCGGTCACACTGCCAAGGCCTGCAATAAATCGTATGACCCGTGACATCAACCATCAAAATATATATGCAGGCCTTGACAGTGTGACCGCGTGGCAAAAGCCATAATTGAAAAGACTTGAATTTCTCGAAAACTGTGGGTTTGAATTGCCTGAAATTTATTTAGAAATTAGCTTTAATGATGCCCCTTCGAATGCGATACCGTGCAAGTTGGCACAACCTCTGTGAGAGCTGTATGAATTAATTAAAGTTTGCATATAAATTTTGATGGTTGATGTCACGGGTCATACGATTTATTGCAGGCCTTGGCAGTGTGACCGCGTGGCAAAAGCCATAATTGAAAAGACTTGAATTTCTCGAAAACTGTGGGTTTGAATTGCCTGAAATTTATTTAGAAATTAGCTTTAATGATGCCCCTTCGAATGCGATACCGTGCAAGTTGGCACAACCTCTGTGAGAGCTGTATGAATTAATTAAAGTTTGCATATATATTTTGATGGTTGATGTCACGGGTCATACGATTTATTGCAGGCCTTGGCAGTGTGACCGCGTGGCAAAAGCCATAATTGAAAAGACTTGAATTTCTCGAAAACTGTGGGTTTGAATTGCCTGTAATTTATTCAGAAATTAGCTATAATGATGCCCCTTCGAATGCGATACCGTGCAAGTTGGCACAACCTCTGTGAGAGCTGTATGAATTAATTAAAGTTTGCATATATATTTTGATGGTTGATGTCACGGGTCATACGATTTATCGCAGGCCTTGGCAGTGTGACCGCGTGGCAAAAGCCATAATTGAAAAGACTTGAATTTCTCGAAAACTGTGGGTTTGAATTGCCTGAAATTTATTTTGAAATTAGCTTTAATGATGCCCCTTCGAATGCGATACCGTGCAAGTTGGCACAACCTCTGTGAGAGCTGTATGAATTAATTAAAGTTTGCATATATATTTTGATGGTTGATGTCACGGGTCATACGATTTATCGCAGGCCTTGGCAGTGTGACCGCGTGGCAAAAGCCATAATTGAAAAGACTTGAATTTCTCGAAAACTGTGGGTTTGAATTGCCTGTAATTTATTCAGAAATTAGCTATAATGATGCCCCTTCGAATGCGATACCGTGCAAGTTGGCACAACCTCTGTGAGAGCTGTATGAATTAATTAAAGTTTGCATATATATTTTGATGGTTGATGTCACGGGTCATACGATTTATCGCAGGCCTTGGCAGTGTGACCGCGTGGCAAAAGCCATAATTGAAAAGACTTGAATTTCTCGAAAACTGTGGGTTTGAATTGCCTGAAATTTATTTAGAAATTAGCTTTAATGATGCCCCTTCGAATGCGATACCGTGCAAGTTGGCACAACCTCTGTGAGAGCTGTATGAATTAATTAAAGTTTGCATATATATTTTGATGGTTGATGTCACGGGTCATACGATTTATTGCAGGCCTTGGCAGTGTGACCGCGTGGCAAAAGCCATAATTGAAAAGACTTGAATTTCTCGAAAACTGTGGGTTTGAATTGCCTGTAATTTATTCAGAAATTAGCTATAATGATGCCCCTTCGAATGCGATACCGTGCAAGTTGGCACAACCTCTGTGAGAGCTGTATGAATTAATTAAAGTTTGCATATATATTTTGATGGTTGATGTCACGGGTCATACGATTTATCGCAGGCCTTGGCAGTGTGACCGCGTGGCAAAAGCCATAATTGAAAAGACTTGAATTTCTCGAAAACTGTGGGTTTGAATTGCCTGTAATTTATTCAGAAATTAGCTATAATGATGCCCCTTCGAATGCGATACCGTGCAAGTTGGCACAACCTCTGTGAGAGCTGTATAAAGTTATAGAAAGTTAGCGTCGAATGATTGTCATGGCTAAGCTGTTTACATTGTGGTTTATGTCTTAGTATCCAATGGTTCCGTTTCTGGATTAAACGGCCTTTTAATAACCTTTTTAACACCCCCAACTGTTAAGCAATTTTCTCAAAATCTGTGGGTTTGATTTTGATAAAACTTTCACAGAACAGTCCCTAGATTATCCCCTATCTACCCATATACCGTGCATGTTGGCACAACCTCTAGGAGTGGAGCAGTAGGTAATTTCATTTTTGCCCCTCTTTTTTGTATGGGGAAAATCCGAGGTTGCGGTACTGTTAGGCTTTTTTCTCGAAAACTGTGGGTTTGATTTTGATGAAACTTTCAGACAAGGAGCTTGAATTAACCCTTAATAGCTTGGTTTATCGTGCATATTGGCACAACCTCTGTGAGGGGAGCAGTTAACAAAATTGTGGGGACACGATTTTTCAAATGCATTTTTGAAACACTAATAGGCCTCGTATGTGTCCCAAACCTACCTAGCTCGATAGATCTTTTCTTTCTTAACAATCTAGCATTTTAGATTTTTCGATTTGGTCCCCAAATAGCGAGAAAATTTAAAAATAAAAAGAGCCCCATGTTCCATATTCCACCGTTCCCGTTTTCGTTGCTAACAGGCCGACGCTAATTTGACGCACATACTTTATATATCAAATTCCACTAATTCACTCTGGCTACACACAACATCACCAAATTCACAAAAATAATTAAAGCTAAACAGTATTTTCTTTAACTCCAAAAGCATATACTATGCAAGGTTTAATAAAGCGCAACGCATCTAACATCTCTGAACCCTTTACTAAGCTTAACCTGTTTTCCTCATTTGTTCGGCCCAAGTTATTAGGCATTTTAATAAAAAAAAGCTTTGTTCTCTTTTCTGGTAATTAGTAATTTGTTAAGACCTAGGTAAGTAGCCACTAAAAGATTAAAAATTTGCTGACGAAGTAAATAAATAAGTCTCCTAACTCCATTCAAGCCTCCCAGGTATTCCCAATCTGCTCTTGACCGTCAGCGTCGTTTGAAATGTAATGTGGTCAGAATTTATCGACTTTGGCAGTGGCGGACATTTGTCAATACTACCCAGTCAAAAAATACTAAAGAAAAGGAATAATAAGGAAACAGGGTGTTTCATATCGCCTGGTAATCGATTAACTTTTCGAATGGGGTTTCTTAACTGGCTGAGTTTTAAAATACTTTTTAAATCGAGAAAATTTATTTGATTTCTTTTTTGCTGTTTAAAGAATTATTGCCGGGAGAAGAAAGAGTAAGTCGGAAGCAAACAATTAGTATTTATTCGATTTAATTCCCATTAACTTATTTTTAATGTCTAAATCCGGTTTGGGTAAACTTTTAGTTTATTCAGGCCTATTACGAAGTTAAAATAAAATCCTAGTCAAAACAGAGAACATTTTCAAAAATCTTATTGAAAAATGTTGCTGAGCTTACATCCGTTACCCTTTTTATTTCATTAAGTGAAAACAAAAAGTAGATTTTAATATAATCCTAACAGGAATTACCATAAATTATTTCAAATATTTTATTCCTGGGCTACTCCTTAAAAGAATTTTTTACACTTGTTTAGACTTTTGGAAAGTTTTAAGAAATGGCATGCATTTTTGAAATTTAAACGCTGGCGTTTCAACATTTCACACATTTTTCTCATCGTCATTATGAAATCCAAGACACATTTCAGATAAATTAAATTCGTGGTTAACTCGATTAACCGTCAAATGACTGAAGCAAAGGACACAGAACGGCCACCCAGCTCTTGTATAAATGA